ATTAAAAGCTAATTCGCCAGAACGAATTTTAAAGCATTAAAATGTCCGAGGCCCTTAAGATTAATTTTTTTAATATTAAGAAAAAAAATCACAAAATCTGAATAAAAGACTTGTTTTTCTTAAAATTTTGAATATGTATTCGATACAGATTACGCAATTCGTTTTCGTTTTGACGCTTATCGGTTACAAACTAACAAACAAACACCCAGACAAGCAAAATATATGTATTTATATTAAGAAAAAAAACATGAAATTAAAGACCAGTGTTTTTTTTCTTAAAAAATTGAAAATATTTGTTACAGATTACACATTTCGAAATTCAATATTTCCAAATGCAGATAGAAATATTCAATAAAATACATCTTATATACAGGGTGTGCAAATAAACATGGGAATTGAGAGACGACTTGAATTTCCGATAATTGATAAATGACATAACTTGCATAAAAAAAGATTAAAAGTCTTATGAGCTTTCCAAAATGATGTCTACCTTCTTTGTGTCTTAAAAATTGGCCGATATATTACACATTTGAACAGTTTTGTTGATTTTAATAAACTATAGAATCTGGACAAATATCCTAATAACTCCGTCAATTTTAAAGGTGAAAAAATCGTCGACCAAATATTGGAAATCCCAAGACTAAGAAATATTGTTAAAAAACTAATCCTGCATGGAATAATGACGATATAGAAGTCGTCACAAAATTCCCATGTTTATTGGGACACCCTGCATAACCCTGTTGAGTGTAAATGATAACACATTATGATAAAATATATTTGTAATTTGATCCCGGAGCACTTTAGTTTTCCACAGTTTACTAAATATTACACACATATCCATCCTATTCTATTCTTTAACAAAATAAATTCTAACCTTCACTATACTTTATAATTGAATTATATCTACCTTGTCTGTTTGTGTAGGTTTGTTTGTTTTCAATAAACGTTAGCCAGTGGAACTTTTTGGGCCCTAAGTTTTTTCAGGATCTCACATAATAACAAAGGAAGGTTTGAACAAAAATTGCGAAACGAGTCTTTTTAAGAAAAAAGAAAATATAGAATTTTTATTTTTATGATGAAAAAAGAAAAATATGACTTCTCCTAACATATAAAAGCTAAAATCATTATAAAAAAGGGGAGATATTTAGAAATGTTTTGTTTTCTTATATTTATGTTTCATATTTTAAGCAAAAAAAATCTAAAAACACACATTTAAAGTGTTAACTAATAATATGTCATATAAGCTCGACTAATTATCTAATTGTAGATCAAGAAACAGGTTGATCTATAAAACTTATTTTGTTGGCTTAAAGAAACTAGCAAAAAACTGATGAGATGGGGCCTAGTTTAATGGAATGGAGAGGTTGCTCAACTACCGAATGCCGATTCAAATACTTATTAATCTTTAACCTTGAATTGGTGATTCAAGATTTGAACCGGCCCCAGCAGTAGATAATTGTTTTAGAGTGTATTTAGAAGAAGAAAAAAAAACTGTATTATGCTAAATTTGCTTTTATTAAACTTTGCAATATATTTAACCTAAAAAACATAAAAAATTTAAAAACGACACGTGCGTTTTATTATCGTTTTTTTTTGCATCGTTTCATGATCTTTTAATGATCTTTTTATAATCGTTATATGATCGTTTTTTGCAACGTTTTTTTGCATTTACCTTCCGCCAGGGTGAAAAGTTTGCATCGTTTTTTGTTATGTTTTTTGCATTTACCTTCCGCCAGGGTGAAAAGTTTGCATAGTTTAAGAAGGACATTTGCTAAATTTTGACCCTGAAAAGAAATGAACAAAACAATCTATAAAATGAATCCCATAGCAGTTTATACTTTTTAAGTGTGTGTACTTTGAAACCAAGGTGAAAACATTATTAAATATTTAGTCTAAAAATAATGAATTAACAACGACCGAAGGAGAATAAGGACTAGAGATTTATTGAAAACAGTAAAACATTTCTCTTCTTAATCCATTTTCTACTATTCATTCCATACAATACTATTCGTTCTGTTCAATACATTTCTATCCATTTAATACTATTCATTCAATTTAATAATATTCATTCCATTCAATACTATTTATTCAATTCATGCTATAGATTCCATGAAATAAATTCCACTTAATTCTTTTCATCCCATTTATTACTTTTTATTCCATTCAATACTATTTATTCCATTCAAGAATATTGGTACCATTCAATAATTTTCATTCCATTCAATATTTTTCATACCATTCAATACTTTTCATACCATTCAATATTTTTTATTAGTATTAATTCGAGTTAATATACTATTCCTTTCATTCAATACTATCCAGTCTTATCAATACTCTTTAATTAAGTCAATACATTTCATCCATTCAATACTATATTATTTCATTAAATTCATTACACCGTGCAGTACGAATCTAAATTCTTAAACCCCCCACCCCACTTCCGGAGAATATTTACAGTACAAGGAAGAGAGACATCTGATTAACTATTTATGATGTTTAGTCTGTATTCATGGATACGAACTCAGTTTTCTTTAGTTCTAGATACAGAATATATATTTAATAGGGTCCTGCTGACACCAAGAGTGCATTTTTCTTTAAAACAATTATTTTGCGTAGTGTTTTATTCTCTCGCAGAATTGTTGACACAGCTTAATAAAGAATAACTTGGTACAATATATTACTATATTGGCTTATCAGTCATTTTTCCAATATTAGATTTTTTATAAAAACTCGACTCGACATTGTTTATACTTTCAAAAAAGGTATATACACACATATTTGGCTTTTCAAATTGTGTTTGTTTGTGTCTAGTAAAATGGCTTAACAGATCAGAGCTGAAAACTTTAGAATGAGATATCCTTAATCCCGATTACTTAATCTGAGTATCCAATGGACAAACATTTGTTTCTCTTCTTAAACCGTTCTTTATTTAATATTGTAGAGAAAAAATCAAAAACCGGTATTAAACATTAGAGAGTTCCTCCCACGGACCCACAGGTAGATATATCTGTGACCGGCCAGAGAAGGCTAGAATTTATAAAGATTACCTTTTATAATTTCAATTTATTTAATTAATTTGGACTGCAGTTTTGATAAAAAAAAATTTTTTTTTCATTATTATCAGAATCGAGGCCAGTCAACAGAAGAAAAAGAAATGAAGGGAGAAGAAGAACAATGACATGAATAATCAATTTAGAATTATCTGTATTAAATGTATCCAATTTATAAAATCCTAAATTCAAAAATAAATTATTTATTTGAAAATCCGTTAAAGTGACAAAAATCTTTAAAACTATTTAATGTTTATTCTGCAATGTACATTGTGATAACAAAATTACACGTTAACCTTTTCTAGAGACTTTTATATTCTCACCCTCGACTAGACTTTTATTCTAAATACTAAAATAAAATAATGATATTTGCTTTAAGCATCCCTACGAGACATCCTCCCTATCTACCAATAATGTATTACTTCCGAAAAATGGCCGCAGCGCTCGGCCCTTTTACGTATCCTCGATCGATATTTTTTAAAAAGCATTTTTATAATTTTCAAATGTGTAATTCATGAGATTTCAAGTGCGTGCAGTAAAGAAATGTTTAAATACAAACATATTTCTGAAACATCTTTGCATTAACTATATAAATTTGTTAACGGACATTGTAATTTTTCTGTCTTGTCACTCCTTTAAAAAATGACTTTTTTCAACGCTACAACAAACTATGTTTAGGACTGTTAAATTTAATCCTTACTTCACAATTTAACACTTGTTCAATTGTTCACTTTCAGTTGCATGTTTTGTACTGTGTGTATACTAAGTAATGAATAATGATGATTTAAACTTTACCTGACGAAAACACTCGTCTGTGATTGGTTTGAATTTGAGCTCTCTACTCTCTCATTGGTGGATTCTAGGGCAAGCATTCCGATTGGTTGAAACAGGGGGTGCGGTTGGAGTATACTGCAACATTTGCTTACAGGCTGTTTTCACAGGGGCGGGTATGATATAGGGCAGGAACGTTTACGATGTTCGCAGGGGGGGGGGGGGGTGAAGTGCCCCCTCTAAATTTCTACATAACCCTTTCAAATCCTAACAACCCTCTGCAGACGCGCAACTTGAGATTTTTTAGGGGGGTGCAAGAGGGAGATATCCCCCTCAAAACGTTTTTAGAGGGGGGCAAGAAAAATGTGTATTAATTGTACTCGAACAATAAAAAACTAACCTTACCAATTCCGGATATTCAGTAAGTCAGATGTACGTTATCTCATATGCAATAAAAAAAAGAAATCTATTCTGGTTAATGTAAATCACAAATATTAATTAATTTACAATTCCTAAAATACATATATAATCATTATTCATCCATAAACCAAATATGTACATTGTACTCAGAAACTGGCAAGAAATGCCTTTCATTAAAAATCATGATTTTACATTCCGCCCCCCCCCCCTAATCAGGCTATGGGGGGGGCCTATGTTGCGCGCCTGACCCTCTGTGTTTACCACACATTTAACAAGTTCGCCCCCCCCCTCTAGAGTAATCTACTAGTCTATGTACGTACGTTCCTGAATTTACGCAGGGGTGAATTTTTTTAAGGGTTCTTAAGGTGAGCTTCATGCCACGACTGAGGGGGGGGGGTAATAGCCAGGCCGCCAAGGACCCCGCGAGATGGTCTCCAAGCCATGAGAGTGTCAAAGGGACCTCAGAATCCCGGATTCTGACACTCAGTCTGTTGCTTTAACCTGTTAATGGACTTTAGTAGCTTGATAATTTTCCAAAAACATCAAACAGCTCATCAATAGCACACCAGAACAGTAAGCTTATAGTTAAACAGAAACTATTAATTTCAAATACTGATTAGATTTTAGGCGGTTTAGAAACTTGTACGTTACTTCCTTATGCTAATGCTTATTGCGTATGCATGGGAAATCAAATAAAAATTTTCTATTCGTAAGTTTTCAATATGAATCTGTAAATGTTTACACTTTTAAAAACGTAGGGAAATAAAAATGCGATTTATTTAATTAAATAACATACATGTTCAAAAAAACAAAGCTGTTTGAACTCTTGAAAAACGAACACCAGCTAACACCTAAAAATAACCACATAAAAAACTTAAATTTTATAGATGTGGCAAGAGAATTATTATTTTTACTCATATTGGTAAAGACAGCATTGGGAAATTTCATAGATAACCATATCATAGCTATCATAGACATTTCATAAATGGGAGATTTCATAAATAGGACATTTCATATATAGAACATTTCTTAGATAAGACATTTCTTAGATAAGACATTTCATAGATGAAGACATTTCAGAGATGAAGACATTTCATAGACAGAGAAGATTTTCCAAAGAGATTTTTTTTACAAATACTATTTATATCTATGAAATATTTTATCTATGAAATATTTTATCTATGAAATATTTTATCTATGAAATGTCCTATCTATGAAATGCCTTTCTATGAAATGTCCCAACGCCGTAAAGACAATGTGAAGTTTCAAAGTTCGTCCTAACCCTTTAAAACGCCTGTTTTTTAGTTGAAAAAATGAGATTGCGAACATTAAGGGGCTGTTAACGTAATTTTAAGTGATCTCCATTTGTAGAATGGCTTATCCGATTAACAATGTTAGAGTTTAAAGCTTTTTCAAATCAAGAATGAATAAAAAATCCCTAGTTTCTTTTAAATTAGGGTGATTCTATAAGAGTACTGTGAAAAAAGTGGGTTTAATTTTTAGAATTAAATACTCATCTAGCAAGATAAAGCGAGGACACCTTCCACATTTATGATAAGATAAGGGTTCAAAGGTAATCTTTGAGAATCTGGCATGCATTAAAATTACATAAACGTCACTGTATTAAAATAAAAATTAAATTTAATTAGATTAATATTATCGATTAAAACAATTATAAAAAAAATTGGTTTACCAGCCTTGTATGTTGTTTATCTATCTTTCTGTCCTTCTATCTGACCATCCTCGGCTCAGCGTTCTTGGGTCTGCCCTGCGAAATGGTTCCTGGCTTGTTGGACGCCTCCGGGTGGTTGGATAGCTCTGGGGGGCAGCTAGACACAGGGCTAGCCAGTAACATCTCCTAAACATGGATTGAGAGTTAAATCAGTAAAAAATCTAACATTTAAATAAATAGAAATAATTATTGACAGTTTCAAGTTTTATCGTATCTTTCCAAGTTTTCAACGCATAGCTTACAGCTGTCGTCGTGTATATCAATACTATGAAGACGACATTCAATTTTGATTTCAACCAATCTTTTTAAACAGCATGGATAGTGGATACACATAAACATGGAAAAGAATAGAAGCCGTCAATAAACATTTTTTGCGTGTACTCATTTTTTTTAAAAAGCCTGTTAGAAATCAAAATTTAATATAAAAGCAATCTTCCTTGTATTGATATAAACGCCAACCACTGTATTTCCTGAAACAAAAGATCTAGAACAAGATTTATACAATTAACTTGAATATGTTAAGTCGATTGTCAAAACATCAAATGTAAAAACCAATTAATTGTTGAAACATGTCAAAATTTTAAAAAGAATGATTAAAAATATTTTATGAAAACTGAAAACTAATAATTGTAATTTTATTAAAACTAATGAGAATAAAGAGAAAATATAAACATTAAGTAAATAAGCTGATATGTCAGTATATTAAACATACACTGTAATTTGCAGTGACAGCAAACTAAATAATATTTCAAAGAAAATATAATTCAACATAACAATGTTATGAATTATGCCTTTCTACACACACAAAATCGATGTTATTTCAAGTGACCCCCAAATCAAAAAAAAAGTAGCTTTATCAATTCACAACGGTACCATTCGACATTTCCTTCTGAATCTTCTATCTGATTAATCTGGAAAAAAGTCGTTTTCTATTTTGCATAAATCGAAAAGTTTTGAAATGAAAAATAAATTGTCTAATTTCATGTAAAGCAGGGAAATGTGCATGTTTTTTTTTTTGCAGGAAAAAAACGATCCCATTGTGAATCTGGTATGCTCGTCTTTTATTTATATACTTTGCTGTCTGTCTATCTGTTTGTCCGTTTGTGTACAATAAACTTCAAAACGGCTGAGCCGATTAGGCCCAAATTTAGTGTGGCACCTCACATAACCCCGGGGAAGATTATGGATGCTCATTATCAAAAAATATTTTTTTTTTCGATTTAAAAAATGCGAACTTAAAGCCTAGTTTTTAAATGTTGGGTCAACTGAAATTACGCCGAATGTCCCTTTAAGAAGAAATCTCAATGATTATTGATCTTTCCTGTCATAAAATAATGACTAACCTTGAGTTCGTAGAATAGTTCCGAATTCTCATGAGTAAGGAAAGTGATAGCTTTCCCGGATTTACCGGCTCGACCTGTTCGCCCAATTCTAAGAAATTAAAGAGATCAGAATTTATTTTGATGCGGATCCGATCTGGCAACTCTTGTATTGTGTATTTCGAGATTAATGTTTGATCTACACTTTTTGTTAATCTGCAGATTAATTTAATCTGTGTATTTGATATCCAGGTAAGTGTCTAAAATTGAACCAATCAGAGTGTCGTTTATTGAAACCGAACAGTGGTCGAAACCCGGAAAAAGTGCTCAAAAAGGATATCGTGATAAAGCGAACGGGATTAAAAGTATTCAACACAATAGTTCCCAGGATCGATCTAAGAATGCCCCGAACATAACTAACGAGTTCGAGAAAAATATAAAAGCTAACCCTATTACTTTCTCTCAGCAATCGTTTTCTCCAAGTCATAAGGATTCATAAGGAAGTCATACCTAACCTAAGTCCGAATTTGAAGAATTTATGTCACGGCTCAAATATGGTTGGTTCCACTTAAAATTGTATTAAATTTTCAAGATTTTAGCCGGCGCTCAATTGAAACCGGGTTTTGGGGGATTCTTTAATTTCATTAAATTCGGACACTAGTTCAACAACTTTTTTATGTATTAATTAATCCTACTTGAGATTTAGAATTTAGATACATATTTTTATTGATATTTTATTACATATACGCCATAATTTATCGAAATAACAGAGGTCGTAACGTATCCATTAACCAATTTATAATTACTCCAGCCGACAGTGAAAAAGGAGAGAAACTTATTCTAGCCGCAGGGGTTCATATACATCCATCTCTGATCCCAATAGGATCTGATTTGAAAGTACATTTAACAACAATAACATGTCGAATTCCTGCCCCGTATATCAATCAATCAACATTTGGGATCAAAATGAATGCAATTAAATAGACCCTTAATCCTAGGCAGTCCAACGAAGGAGGGAACCCCCGCCATGAGCCTCTCAGATTAGCTTTGCAGCACCGAGCCTCTGCTATGCAGTTTAAATTATAAACTAAATTCGATTTGATTTGTTGAAATCTTTGAACTAAGCGATACCTTTTCTTAAATTATTGATGTTTAGATAAATCTTAAAATTTAGAATTATTGTAATAAAGTATCATCTTTATTTTAAACAAAATCGACAAAAAAGGTTCAGCTTAAATCAAAGATTTTAACAAATCAAATCAATTCAATTCAGAATTTGTTTTCTTAATATCTTTCTTTTCACGTAAAACACCTTAAGTTTTAGTATAAAATTTGTACTGCATAGGGGAGGCTCGTGCTGCAGGTGAGCAAAGGGAGGCTCGTGGGGTTCCCTCCCTAGTCCAACCAAGACAAGCAATTTCAAGAATTATCCTTGGTATGCACTATGCAGTGGTCAGTGTTATTTAACTATTTTCAGAACTCATTATTTTGGTCTTTTTTTAACTGTATTTTTCTGCACTTGTATCTCAATACTTGTTAATTGCTTGCAATTCAGAGAGCGTAAAAAACATTCAGTCCCGAAAGTACTTATCAATTAAAATAATTTAAATACATGTGAACTCATATTTCCCCGAAAGCCAGAAACATCTTAAACTTAAATTTCCTTGAAAGCCCGAAACGTATAAATCTGCAAGTCCTACCTATGAGTGTACATCTCGATGTTCTTCGCCATGTCGTAGTTGATGACAAGGGACACATCCTTGATGTCAATACCTCGACCTGCTACATCAGTTGCCACAAGGATATCCTTAGCACCAGCCTTCAGACCTACAAATAACATCTATATAATAAAACAAGACATTCGTATATATATATATATGTTGCCTATAGCCGGCCAAACAACTGGACCGATTGAGCTGAAATTTTTTTTGTGGAAACTCAGGAGTGGCCAGGGGTTGTTATACGCAAAACTTTCATAATTTTAAAAAGAAAAACGTGAATATCTAGCTAATATATACTTGCCTGGACAAGGCTTATAAAAATGGTGGGTTGTTTAGAAACTGAATAATTTTGAAAACATTAGGTTATTTATATGTTGCCTTTAGCCGGCCAAACAACTGGACCGATTGAGCTGAATTTTTTTTGTGGTCAGGAGTGGCCGGGGGTTGTTATACGCAAAAGTTTCATAATTTTAAAAAGAAAAACGTGAATATCTAGCTAATATACACTTGCCTGGACAAGACTTTTAAAAATGGTGGGTTGTTTAAAATTACGAATACAGTCCCTTGAATAAGATTTGAAATAAAAAATTCTGATTTATTTAAAGAAATTAGAGGCGTAGTTAAACTTAACACAGCTTGTTCAGCTACTTCCTCTTGGAGGTAGTTCAGCAGTCACGTTAGCCAAGCGTGCCCCGCATCACAATAAATGCATCAAAGACTCTACTTCCAACTTTAAACACAAATTTGAACATTTAGAAACTGAATAATTTTGAAAACATTAGGTTATAAACTGCTAGATTTGAAGAATATTTTCGCGGATTTTTCCACTTGAAAATTCAAAGTAATCTCATTAAAATAGGACAATTTGTAATTCTTTTACCTTTCACAACTTCAAGCATCCTCAAAAATAAAAACAACCCCGCACAAATGGCCGCAAACATGAACCATCCATGCATCAAAATCAATCCCCTTCCAAAACTGTACATCTTCACAATTTCCGTATATTTCCGGAATAATAAACGGCACACCACCGGATGGATTGGTACCCATAGAACTGGTACTCCAAACCATAGTACAAGACCCTGTAGTACTCGAAATAACTTCTTCCTCGGAACTATCGTATTCCGGAAGTATCATTTTGTTAACAAAATCTTCTAAAAAAGAAAATGTCCTACATAACAATATTATTAAAATGATTTTAATTATGCTCAAACTTTAAAGAAAGGAGGGGGGTATCCATAGCTTTAGCAAAGCTAGTTCTAACAACTGAAATCTAAACCAAATTTTAAAGAAAAAACAACGCTCATGACTCAATCCTTTCTCAAAATCACGAGTTTGTAATTTGAACAGATTAAGTATAAACAATTATAAAATATTATACATTAAATCAATTATTGAGGCCAGAATTCTCATGAGTGAGGAAAGTGATAGCTTTCCCGGATTTACCNTAAGTATAAACAATTATAAAATATTATACATTAAATCAATTATTGAGGCCATTAGAAACTTTAAATTATCAATATATTTTGTCTATATTCGAATTTTGTTCAGGATGCTGGGTGGACCCGGTATCTGGAAAAGGAAGACGACATTATTTCCAGTATCCTTAGCTATTTACTTCCAGGTAGATCTTCCATGAGCCAAGGGGATCTATGTATCGATAGGTTCTAACCAAAACTACATCTGTAAAGGGTTGGATTCCGGGGGGCCTCGTTTCTGTCGGAGTTTGAATATTTACATCAAATAAAAGAATAGTTATGGTAACTATATAAAATATAGAAGGTTCTAGTATTTCGGGACAAAATTACGTAAAAATATATGATAAATTTATCCACCTAAATTGTTACCCTCTTGTATTTCTTCCCCCCCCCCCCTCCTAAGTAAAGGAACTCTTAATTATAATAATTTTATGATTTAATATACTCTAAACCCTCACGCCATGAATTCTACAAGAGAAAGAAAAGAATTATTTAGTAAATCATGTTTTCCTACCAGTAAATGAAATTAGTAAAATTCTTATTTAACAAAACTTAAAGATTGAATTATTTGGGAAGTTTTTCCTCTTGTAGGTCAAAGGCTTAAAATCACTCCTTAAGGGTAAAAAATGAGAAATTTCCTTAGTCTAGAATTCCGGCTGGAAGGTTTAAATTTTTCAGAATTCATCGACTTCAACATTAGAAAAATTTAAACCAGTTAATATTGTACTGGTTCAGATTAACATCTATGTACAAATTTCAAGCTTTGATTACAAAGATTCTCATCAATCAAATAATGAATTTTTGAGAATATTAATTCATGAATTTTATAATAATTTCAAATCATAAATTTTTAAGAATACCAAATCACGAATTTTTGAGAATATCAAATCATGAATTTTTGAAAAATCAAATCATGAATTTAGAGAATATAAAACAAGATTATTAATTTTTCTGAAATGAATTAAGTTGTTTGAACCTGCTAGAGCTGTATCTCTCTGTTCCTGGCCCTTTCCTCCGTGGAGAGTAGCAGCGTTATATCCCATCTTCTCAAGACCCTTAGCTAGCACGTCAGCTCCCTATTCATTCATTTATTCGTCCTTCCGTTCATTTGTTCCTTTTGTTCCTTTCGTTCCTTTCGTTCCTTTTCGCTCCTTTTCATTCTTTTGCGTTCATATTTGTTCATATTTGTTCATATTTGTTCATATTTGTTCATATTTGTTCATATTAATTCATATTCATTCATATTCATTCATATTCATTCATATTCATTCATTTTCATGCATTTTCATGCATTTTCATGCATATTCATGTATTTTCATTTATTTTCAAACAATCTCGATGTGAAACTTGTTTTATTACAAAAAAGAAATATGTAAAATGAAAGTTTAAGCTTACCTTCTTCTGGTTAACGAAAATGATGATGGGTGGTTCTATTCCTGAGTTCAATATATTGATCAGTTTATTCCTCTTATCGTTCTCCTTCATCATGTACACAACCTACACATGAACAATATTAGTATTCTGTGTACAAAACCAACACACATGTACAATGTTAGTTCAGTGTGCATTGTACAACCTATTACACAACCTTGTACACCACCCACATATGTTAGTGCTATATATTCATGACCTGTGCAAGTGAAATGTACATGTATACAGATTTCATCACACGGATATATTTAAAGATATATAAGTGTTTCTTGCAAAACCAATTTAGGAGAGTATCGTTTAAAGAGTTCCTTTTTAGGCCGGTGGGTCTAAACTAACGCGCAATTTCAATATAAGAACTCAGAAACAAAAACAGAATTTACCGAAGCCACATGAAATAATATTTCTGAACAAAATATTGGTATCTACATAACAGTACACTTGTACGTACAAACCTGTTCAACTCTCTCTGTAGGTTTACCAACAGATCCTATATAACAGTAGGCTGGTCGTCTTAGGTAGGTCCTGAAATGAACGTCATGAGGATAATTTTTTAAACACAAAAAGGTGATTTCAAGAGGAATGATCGTTCCTAAATAATATAAAAACCTTATCCCCCCCCCCCTTCCACACACGCACACCATTTCGAGGTTAGGTAGGATAAATAAATAGTATAACAGACTGCACAGGTTGCGTATTTGAACGCAGTGGAGTGAAGGGGATGGGGCTGTGCTTCTTAAGTAATTCCCCGACTGAACAGTGTGTTATTATGTGCTCCATAAGCTATATCTAAAAAGAATTTTTTGTTTCACTCCTCAAAAGAACCTCATCATTTCTTACTGACTATTATTTTCTAATCCCAAGCAATTTAAAAATGTAAACCGTTGATATATCAAACTTGATGACTATTTGACCTAGAAAAATTAAATCGACAAAGGTGGTATTAGGAAAAGGTTGTTAGAATATACGGTATAGAAAATTAGAGCCAGTGGCAAGTTTTCGGTTAATATTCTAAGATTTTTTTGGATAATGTTAAAAAATACATTTCATTTTTGGTTTATCGTTTTTTTAATGAATGTTAAAAATGCAAGAACATTAAAAACCGTACCTTGCAAGACGTTCTACTGCTACGGGCATGGTAGCTGTAAACATGACAGTTTGTCGGTACTTATTCTTCATCTTGAAGTTCTGTGACAGCGCTGTTATATCTTCGGCTATCTAAATATAACAGTTGTAAACATGACAGCAGAGTGCCGTAACAGTGCTGTTATAATGTGTGTTTGAAACATCATTTATTTTATTATTATGATTGCATACAAAGGCGTACTCGGGGGGGCTATGGGGCTAAGCCCCCAACCCCTGATCAGGGTTCTCAAGCCCAAAGGCTAAGCCCCATTCCTCCCCTGAAAATATCTAATTTTAATATGTCTGAAACCATGATAGAGAATTTGGGATGAAAACTTAAATAAGTAATTTAAAAATTTGCAGCTATGGGAAGCTACTGCTAGGATTTGAGTGAAAATTTATCTGAAATCAGACGACCTCCTCGGAACTAATTATATTTTGAGATTTCTTCATCCTTTTAGTCTTTTAGTGAAGCCTATTTCTGGTTCAGGTCAGCTGCGCGGGGTCATGTAAGGTCACACACAACATTTGGGCCCGATCGGTTTTGACGTTCATTGGATACAAACGGACAGACAGGCAGACAAGCCAAGTATATAGACAGATTTATTCTCATCCTAAAAATCGCCTATGCAGTGTTAAAACTCTTTTGATCTTCAATTGTCTTCAATTGTCTAATCAAACTTCAAAACAATAAGTACAAGCGAAGAAAAAAAACTGAAATAGAATGATAAATTGATTTAGATTTAACTACTTTTGATGGGACTGCTACGTAACCCGGATTCCTCTAAAATCAGAATGAAACCAAGCCCTACAAGATGTTTTTACAAAGTAAATTTACCGAAACATTTCTTTAACTAACAGGACATTTAATTCTTGCGGTGTATTATCTGTATAGTGTACAATGTACATTGTATAGTGTACAATGTACATTGTATATTGTACAATAGGGGGGAAAGAAATTCATAAAAGATAGATAGATTGTACACATTTGAGAAGAGGTCAGCTTGGTACTTCAAAAAGAACCTCAGTTTACAGTGGTAAAATGTACCGTACCAGCCTGTGTTTGTTTGTTTACCTCTGAATCCGGTTTCTGATTGGTTACAGGCATATGATCCAACACTTTCTGTACATCAGGCTCAAAACCCATGTCTATCATTCTATCTGCCTCATCAAGTACTATATAGGTACACCTAGATTTCAACAAATAAATTCATTTTTGGGCATAATTGATGACCATATGAATTAAGTTCTTAAATTAAAGAAATAAAAGCAACCGGATCAATCAACATTTAGACCTTTGATAAAAAATATCTAAATAATCTGAAGAAACTAATTACACGGGCAACAAAAAGTCTACCTGCTTTAATACCTACCTGGATAATTAAAATCTCTCACTATCCCACCTACCTGAAGAAATCAATCTACTATAACAAAAAAAAAACCCTACCTGGAAAAATCTCACTACTATAAAGACTACCTGGAGAAGTCTCCCAAATCCATATTCCCAAATATGCCATCTACCTGTAGATATATCCCTATTCCCTACTATAACACCTACCTGGAGATATATCCCTATTCCCTACTATACCACCTACCTGAAGATATATCCCTATTCCCTACTATACCAGATATTCCCTACTACTATACCACCTACCTAGAGATATATCCCTATTCCCTACTACTATACCACCTACCTGGAGATATATATTCCTATTTCCTACTATACCACCTACCTAGATATATATCCCTATTTCGTACTATACCACCTACCTAGAAAGAACTAAATATCTGTTCTCCAAGACATCAATGAGACGACCAGGAGTAGCAATAACAATCTCACAACCAAGTCTCAACTTGAATCCTTGCTCCTCACGGGATAAGCCTAAAATCAAGAATTCAGTCTCGTGTTTGTACAGTTCAGTGGTAGCCATAAAAAACTTGGGACAATTGTCGTCTTCAATCCTAATATTTGTTCTGAAACTTCACTCAGCATTTTGAAAATTGTTTTGTGACAATATATGTTTCTGAAAATTTCCAGAAAGAAATCAGAATATTTCCCCATCTAAGACTTGAAAATATTTTGCCAAATCAAATTTTTTTAGCTGTGAAGTAGTATTCAAACTAGACATTTTAGTAGAATATGCAACCGGAAGATGGAGGGAAGGCAACCGCACCCACTTACTTGTTCAGCCGCAATTAACATTTGATGCGGCTCGTTAGTCATTAGGGTACGGCTGCCTTCCTCCATGATCTATCCCAGCGGAAATTCGTGTTTAACTGACCTCCAATAACTGCAACAGTTCGTATCCCCAGGGGATCTCCAAACTTATTCGTCTCTTCCTCTATCTGCTGGGCTAACTCTCTTAAATCAGAAACAGTTAATGAGACTGAAGACGTTTAAGTAACCCTTTCAGTTAAGGAGGCTTGACCGATTTACTTGGGTACTTTTTAAAACTTTAAGGGGGTGAATTCTGCCTTTTTTTCCTTGTTTATGCGTTATAAATTCGCTGAACATTTTTTTAACACACAGTTGAAAATTTTCGATATTACGATAAAAAAACAATGATGTTTAGTGTGTACTCTGTACAGCTGTGAACCGGAATTATAATACTCTGTACTTAAAGGTTCAGCCCCATTTGGACACATTCTTTTTTAACTGTTGTGAAACACCATTATTCCTAGGTCTGTAATCTTTCATCATCATGCGGTAAAGAGGAAAACGCAACAAGGAAAACTAGAAAATCCACGAAATATGTACAATGTACATTTTTATATGATTTATAGAACTGATGTAGCATTTCAGTAGCGTTTAAAAGCTAAATCTTTTAAAAATTTCTTATATTCATTTGAGTTGTGTCTTCACCTTGTGGGTGCCATGATGATAGCATAAGGGCCTTGATCCTGGTCTTCTAACCTTGTCACCTGTAACAAATAAAATAAAATCAGGCTCTCATAGGGCTCTATTTTCAACCCCTAAATCCAAACTGACTTTACTAAAATAGGTCTGAAGAGTAGTTGGCTTTTAATGGATTCTCGTTTATAAAATAATTTTTGACGAGTTGAGAAAAAAAATGCTTAATTGAAGATCAAAAGCAATTTTTTCCGTCATTTTTGATACTTTTTTCCAAAAACAAATCAGTTATTTACACCTAAAATTGATGATATTTACCCCCAATTTTTTTAGTGGTTATGAATTTCAAAAGTTTAAATATATTTTCCTTGGGTAGACTCTGAATCCAGACTAGAAGAGGAATCAAGAACGCAGCAGTTTTACCAGATCCAGTCTCAGCAACTCCGATAATATCCCTGATCACACCAAATCAATCCAAACCAGATAAAAACAAATCAAATTAAGATTATGAAATATTAATAGTTAAATTAAAGATTGTTAAAAAATTTAAAGATTGATCATATTAATGATTGATTGATTCATGAATTGAACAATTGATTAGTTTAATAATTGATTGACAATTGAATTGATGCTTAATTAATTGAATGATTGATTTCCTGTTGGTGAGACCGATAGGGATAGCTTGTCTCTGAATGGGTGAAGGATCCACGTATCCAGCCTAGAATAGATCTTATTGAAAACAACCTATTAACTAATAAGTTATATTTGATTCATGTATTTATCCATCCTATCCCATCTTGAATGCAGAATGTGACAGTAACATCAAAATCTCCCTAATGCTATATCAAAATTATATCAAGATTACACTGACCAAAAATGTTTAAAATGTTTTATTAGAAATAAAATTTTCAGCCTTTTCGTGTGACAATAATCTTTAACAAAAAAGCTTTATGCAAAAATAGTTTAAGTACAGGGTGTCCCAATGAACATGGGAATTGAGATATCGTCTTTATGAATGATTTTTTGATTTGGTACCAACTGAGAAAGCTGTTTTCCGTAGATTTTTCGTCTACTAGTTTAGAATTTGTTTGTTTATGTTTAGGTTGAAAACTGTTGTACTTTGAAAAAAAATTCCTGTTTACAAATACAGTACACTTGTTCCTCTTCCCTTTTAACCTTGTAGAAATATTACAGAACATCTTACAACGTTTAGCAGATCAACACTCAACAGGGTGATATGGAAACACCACACCACGGAAACGCTTTGCCACAAAAATGCCTCAAAAACCAATTTTAAAGAATAAAAACTTAGAAAAATTATTTAATTGAGGTGTTTCCTCTTTTTTTTGAGACACTTCCGCATTATTTTGAGGCGTTTCCTTATTTAAACAAAAAATTTAAAAAGTTTATTTAGTTGAGGTGTTTCTTCTTTTTTTTTGAGGCGTTCCTGGTTTTCAAAAAACTTAAACACTTTATTTAGTTGAATTGTTTCATCTTTTTTTTCAGAGGCGTTTCCAAAATTTTTGAGACGTTTCCGCATATTTTTGAGGCGTTTCCGTTTTTTTATAAAAAAATTTAAAACCTTTTTTAGTTGAGGTGTTAACTCTTTCTTTTGTGGCATTTCCGTTTTAATCAAAAAATCATTGTGTTTTGAGGGATTTCCTTATTACAACAAAAAATACTTTTGAGGCATTTCCGTGGCGAGACGTTTCCATAGCAAAATCAACAGAACAGCTTTTTATTGTTTACATAAAATATTCACTAGCAGACGTAACTTTATTTTGATAATTGAAATTAGGTAACAAAACGATACTTCATAACAAAGACGATTTCGAATTCGTCACTTAATTCCCGCGTTTATTGGGACAACCCTGTTTGTTGAGACGGAAATTACTCCTACCTTGGCAATAATTTCCAGAATTTCGTCTGGAATATTGCTTTCCTTCCAGCTACGGATCGGATGCGGAATGTTGCCCCCCTACATTTTTAAAATATATAATTTTCAAACAATTTATAAATTCAAATTAATTTTTATCCGGATGATAAATCCATTTTTTTATAGGACATTTTTAGTATCTTTATAGGTTAATAAAATTCTGAGCTCTTGAGAAGAGAAGAAAGTATATATTTCCTTGATCCCGATATTATAATCTTCTCTGAAGATTCTCCAATCTCTCTCCGTCATGTTTTGCAGTTCCTTGTCCGTCCAGTGACGATCATCAAACCTCTGCTTATCCTCCTTCTTCTGAAGTTTCTTTAATCTAAAATAGTTTCAATAGTTTCAACATTCTTATTCACCTTGTTCTTTTACAGGGTGTCCCCTGAAACTTTACAGTAGAAAGACGCCTTGAAATTCGTCTGAGATTTTATAAATTATTTGCGTCATTTGTTTGTCAAACCCACTTTTACATGTATGATTTTAAACCAAGAATCACAAAATTCTCCTACTTCTGGTATTTCCTCCTATTACCGGAGTTTATATATTTTGAATAATCCAAAATTCTGTAAATCTGAGAAAATTTCTGCATATCTCTGGTAAATTTGAAAGCACTTAAAAGGCAGACCTCATTTTGGAAATGCCAGGACTAGGGTTACTTTGTGATTATTAACTTTAGAATATTACCACTTTTAAAATTAGATTTACAAAAAAATGTCGCAAATTATTTCTCTGGTCATATTGAGAGCACAAAAAAGGCAGACCTCATTTTGGAAATGCCAGGACTAGGGTTACTTTGTGATTATTAACTTTAGAATATTACCACTTTTAAAATTAGATTTACAAAAAAATGTCGCAAATTATTTCTCTGGTCATATTGAGAGCACAAAAAAGGCAGACCTCATTTTGGAAATGCCAGGACTAGGGTTACTTTGTGATTATTAACTTAAGAATATTACCACTTCTAAAATTAGATTTACGAATAAAATGTTGCAAATTATTTCAACGATCAAAGACGACCTTCAAGTTGTCTTACTAATGTCATGTTTCGTAGGACACCCTGTATGTATTTTCTATATGAACCCTACTAATAAAGGTTTAACCACAAAGGATGAGAATTCAAAAACAATTGTACAGAAATGGAATTTATCAGGGGTTTTCATTATATTTCTAGTTCCCTGTGCAGCTGTAGTTTCTTCCTTTTCCAATTCATTAAACATTCTATTAAATGTATGATAAGACCAAAAAAAAAAAGTTTATTTAAAGAGTTTCAATAAGTCTTAAAAGGTTCAAAATTTATGGTAAAACCATGCTTAGTATCTACTTGTATCAAATTATATCATATCATGTAGTGATTGCTTTGAGCTCTGACAATCAGAAGGTAGGATCAAGTCCCAGCTGAACTGTGGGTTTTCAGCTAGGATCTAGTTATTAATATAGAAGGCAACTTTTAATTTGAATTTACTCCCATCGTTTGCCCGTTTTGGTCGATTTTACCGGGAAACTAAATATTTGCTATTAAAGTCAATCCCCTCAACTTAAACTTAAACTAATCAATTGTGGTTTCACTACAAAAGCTAAGAACAATCCTGTGGTTCTTCCGAGTTCCCCGATCAAAATTTGAAGCAAATCGGTCAAGAGGTTCATTAGTTATGATCGGACATACAAATATACAAACAGAGAGTCCAGTGACGATCATCAAACCTCTGCTTATCCTCCTTCTTCTGAAGTTTCTTTAATCTAAAATAGTTTCAATAGTTTCAACATTCTTATTCACCATGTTCTTTTACAGGGTGTCCCCCGAAACTTTACAGTAGAAAGACGCCATGAAATTCGTCTTAGATTTTATAAATTATTTGCGGCATTTGTTTGTCAAACCCACTTTTACATGCATGATTTTAAACCAAGAATCACAAAATTCTCCTAGTTCTTGTAATTTCTCAATGTGGTCTAGCTTTTCTGTTCTGTTTTTAATCTTTGTAAAGAAACAATCTCAAGAACTGACGAGGGTCAACCCAGACCGAAATATATTTGCAATAAATGTGGAACTAACATCTACTTTTTTACTCTACAGAGGTTTGGACAATTGGTCGATTTTACCGGGAAACTAAACATTTGCTATTAAAGTCAATCCCATAAACTTAAACTTTCAAAACTAATCAATTGTGGTTTCACTACAAAAGCTAAGAACAATCCTGTGGTTCTTCCGAGTTCCCCAATCAAAATTTGAGGCAAATCGGTCAAGAGGTTCCTTAGTTATGATCGGACATACAAACATACAAACAGAGATTATACAGCTTTAAAAATATAGATATATGTAATGTATTAGACTTATTATATGAATAATATTTATGTCTCCAGCAACACGACCAAATTAAAGATAGATGGATTTTTCCCCACCTAGCTTTCTCTTGATCCTTCTCCATATCAGTTCTCCTTCTCTCCAGTAGATCTCCGTAGAACTGGATCTGTTCCTTCTTCTGGGCCTAAATCAATCGATCAGGTGAACTGAATCTATTAACCAATTCAGCAATCGAGTAAATCAAAGAATTTGGTTACTTTAGTTTAATACAGGCAAATCAATCAATCAATCGAACAATAAATCAACATTTCCTTTTAGTCTAAATCTATCAATCAATCAATGAAATCATCACTCAAGTAAACAATCGGTCAATCAAATGATTCATTTATCAAATTATCAAGCATTTTATATTATCTAGGAGTTTAAAATTTTAATAATAAAAATAATAAAAATTGGATATCAAAAGACATGTTTTTTTAACCTTTTTTGATACTTTTTCTCTAATTTTTGATTATTTTTCCCATTGCGCAATTTCCCAATTTCTCCTCTACGTCAACAACCCTAACTTTTGGGGAAAAAATGATGTTTCAAAAAGCTGTTATGCTTCCGTCGTTGTTAAATAAGATAAAGAGGATGTCAGAAGTTAATTCTAAAAAGAAAAATTTACCTTTATATCAATCCCGCCGATGCCTCCACGTCCATAAAACTGAGCGTAGTGCCTGACATGAGCATAACCATTTTATCACAATAAAAAACAGAAATAGTGAAATTGCCACAAAATTTTTTATTGTTCCACAATTTGCATACTTGCTTTGAATCCGTAATATTTAATTTACAAAAAAAAAGTTTACACTTTTTCGCTTTTTCCCATTAGTTTACTTTCACAATTTACTTGCAAACATTGTCCTTAACTTTATTATATCTTTAAAAATAAAAAGATATACTCATGCAGTGAAACCAGAAAACTGTTTAATATGAAGACGACATTTTTAGTAACATTTAAATGTATTGTATTTTGTTATACAGCAACTAATTTTACAAGTAGTTTGTATTAACAAATATCCATTGGGTAAAAAAACTTGATGTTTAATATATTAGGTTGCATTCCTGTCGCTGTAGAGAGAATTATAATCCGCCGAGGTGTCGTCGGTCACCTCCCAGTCGAAAATAAATTTACGATCATTTTGTCGCCGAATTCTTTTCTTCCGCCTCTCCGCCCCAAGATATCTGTTCTTAATCGCCTCCTTCTCCTAATAATAAAACAAATATTAAAGGGACTGTTATTTTTTTTATAAATATGGCGCAGACTTTCTTAACTTATTAAGGGGAAACTGCTATTTAACTATTTTTATCTATTTTAATATTCTGAGACATCCATGGATTATGTTTAACTTATACATTCCGAATTTACCGACGCAGAATTTCTTTTGTTTGACTTGAAAAAGAGGTAATTTTAATTTGACATCAGCTTTAAGGAAGTTCTAGCAAGTTTAATGTTATAAAAAAAATTAAATTGTCAAAATATCGCAAAATAACAAATAGATTTTCCAAAAAATCATGTTAATTCTAGTAAATTTTCCTGCAGTAGAAATGCGCGAGTCACTTTTGTAGAGAAACCAAACTGGAAAATAATCAGAACTATAAACTTCAAACTTGATTGGACAAAGCTTTTAAAGGTGTTCCCGGCCTTTTGAATCGGGCAATGATATCTTTGCACGGAGGCAGAATACAGCGTTACCCACAAAGAATGTGACTGTGAAGACGACCTGAAACCTATTAGATATGACGATTCCAAGTTTAAATAAGTCTGTTGCCTTAAATATAATCGTAAAATGACTAGTTTTATAATCAACAAAAGGAGGGAAAGTATCTACAGTTGCAAGGAACCATGTGAATATAAGGAAACAGACAGTGTAACTTCCGTACATCCGTCTCTCAAGCCTCGTTCTTTGTGACTAACCTTGTATTAGAAATGTAAAGGTTCTTTCTTTCGATGATTTCAAGATTAGGAAAAAAATAAATTATACTTTTCGGGGGAAAATGGGCAAAACTTACCAGCTTGTAATCTCTTCAAGATTATTTCCCAAATTACATGCTAAGAAAATACGTACCACATAGAATAATAAATATCGTCTTCGGTCCGTTTAACAAAATATCCTTACTCTTACCTTTCCCTCTCCTTCTCCCTGTCCTTATCTCTAGCTCTATCCCTGGGATCTCGGGCTCTATCCCTCATATTTCGTTCTATCTCACGCAGTTCTATTTTACCCTCCTAATTATAGTTTATAAGGGACTGAAAGCGTAATTACATCCGACTCCCCTTGCAACGATGGAGAGACGGTACCCTTGAAACTTTAATTTGATAAAAAATGTGGACAATATCGTAGATTTACTGACTTGATAATTTCTCTATTGCTTCTTATAAGCAAGAAATGCACAAGTCACTTTAGTAGGGAGCCTGCAAATGAAAATAAAAAGTTTAAAGTAACAAAAACATGGATATTGGATATCTAATTCATAATTGATCAGACAAAACTTTTAATGCATTCATTAAAAGAACAAAGAGATAAAGGTGTGAGGCTGGGGGAGGTTTTTAGCATGAGTCACCTATACTTTAAATATTACACAAGCAAATCAACCAACTTATGCACTGAATAAGCCACCCAAAAAATCAATCATCAAACCAGACACAATGCCACCCAACCAAACACCAACCAACCAACCAATCAATCGAATCAATCAATCAATCAATCAATCAGTCAATCAATCAATCAATCAATCAATCAATCAAAAAAACAGACAATCAATCAATAAATCAATCAACCAACCAACCAACCAACCAACAAACAATTAAACAACCAACCAACCCAAACCAGGCGGCCAACCAACCAACCAACCAACCTGCTCTGCTCTCCGCTTGAGTGCAAGTGCAGCTCTTTCTTCTTTAGTTAAGAATTTAGGTTTAGCTATCTCTTGTTCTTCGGCTCTCTTCTTCGCCAACAGCTCCTCTATAACAGGCGGAGTTTTAAGGGTCTATTTACAAGGTTCAAAAAATAAGAAGTATATCCGTTGATTCGACATTACAAAATTCATAATACTAAACTAACTAAGACAATTAAAAAACAATTCTCTGCTTATCTACCCCAGCTTGCCCCTTTTCTCATTGATCTTACCTAATGAGAGTGGTTCCACTTTCTCTTTGACTTGAACCTTCTCCTCTTTCCTCTCCTCCTCATCTCCGTCCCGTCTCCGGTCTCCCCGATCCTTCTTCTTATCTTTACTCCGTTTAGGAGATTTTGATCTACTCCGTCGTTTTTTATCCTAAATTTAGGAAATCATTAGAATTGTTAGAAATGCAGAAAGTTGAGATGTCTGGGACAATCTTCAGTATTAATATCTCTCCAGAGTTTGTTCCTTCCAAAGATATTGCCAAAGCTGAAAGTTTAAATTTGATTTCTCAAATATGTGTCATTTTATTCTTGATAGTCCATTTTACAATCAGAAAATTAATTCTTACTGGACAGAGCTGTTACTCATCTCAAATAAGATATATTCTTAATCAAGTAGAGAGTATTATTAATGTGATTTTTGATTTTATTTTTAACCCTTTTGTAAATCATTTTTTTAGATACAAGTTTGAAGAAGAATTGTTAGAAAGACCGACTTCAGACCTCATCAGATCAGATCNTTTGTCTTATATTACATTTGGGGGGGGAGGGGCTTAATTTTTTCCTTTTCAGGGGAAGGATACTCGATACCATTTTGGACATGAAAACCCCCGTTAAACCAAATTTCTTACTGAAATATCACGAAATTCATTCTGAAGCATACAGAGTATAAATAACTTAATATTCTTGTATATTTTTTATTCTACTTTTTAAGTTTTAATTTTTTCATAAATATTCATCGACTTCTTTCTACTTAATTAATCTGAATAGCTGGCCACATTTCTGTATTTTATTTGCTGAATTTCAATGGATTGAGCACATTTTTTGTTGTCCTTTAGTACCAAAAGAAAAATAAGGTTTCTAAAGGTGCAACCTACCCCCCCCCCCTTTATACGGCGTTATCCAAACAAATATTTAAAAAAAGAAATATTAAAATTTTCTTAAATAAAAAATATGAAGTGAGTCTATGTACGTAAAATTGTCGCTTTTCCAACGTTCACTTTTCACATAGTTTCAGGCACAGAAAAAAAGGAAGTGAAAGTAAAATGTTTCCAGTCAAGAAAAAATCATTTTAAGACTAATAAAGTTAATTTAAATTTTTAAATATCTTGCCTTAGACTTTGATCTGGATCTGTCCTTCCTTCTCTCTCTAGACCTTGAACAGAATTTTATTTTTCTTTGTCAAAGTTTTAATTTTGTTTTCATCATTAATGGGACTGTTCAGCGTACACTGTACAGTGACCTTCCACGCAAAGATGTCCAAGTCCGATTCCCCACGGTACCCTTGAAACTTTCATCTGATCATCAATGTGGAAGATATTGTCGTTTTTCTGGGATGCATGGTGTTAATTTCTGATAATTCTTGTAAATTTTCCTGCAGTAGAAATGCGCGAGTCACTTTTGTAGAGAAACCAAACTGGAAAATAATCAGAACTATAAACTTCAAACTTGTTTGGACAAAGCTTTTAAGGGTGTTCCCGGCCTTTTGAATCGGGCAATGATATCTTTGCACGGAGAGTCGCTTGAAATTACGCTTACAGTCCCTTTAAATCGGAAAAAACTGTTGTTCCAGCAATAACTTGAAAACAATAGTACTTTCTCTAGTTATATACAGCAATGACACCAAAGCTAAAAGCCGAAAATAATTCATGATGGCAAAACTAAATGATAGTAGAAGTGTAGTAAATGCCCTATTCTAGAACAGTTCCTAAAATGCCTATCTATCCATGTACAACTCAGATTCTCTTGACTATCAATGTCAACCACGGCTGAAATCCCGTTAACTGTCTGAATTGTTTATACTATTTGTTATTATTTACAAAAAAACTAGTTCCTGAGCTGTACTGTTACGTCACAGTTGGATTAATAGATTGCTTGTCTAGCTAATGAGTTAAAGTTTTGCCAATTTTTTCCACACAAAATAATATTTGAAAAATTTTTTTTTTTTTGTTTGATAAGGGTTTGATAATATTTTATGATTGATTTTGAAATTATGTGTTTAGGAGAAAAAGAATTTTTTATTTAGAGATTTTATTCAAATTTTGCAACTTGGATCAGGATCTTTAGATATGCATATTTTTTCCGACTCCAATTACAGAAGCTAAGAGGTTCAGCAAATAAAACCAGAAAAAGCATAAAAGGGAATAAAAATGATTTTTCAAAAAACTATACGTAATACTTCATGGACAAACCTGGATCGATCCTTTTTCTTCTCTTTCGAGATAGACTTGTCTCTCGACTTAGATCTATCCTTACGATCCTTAAAAGCATAGATTTATTAAGGGATTGTTAACAAAATTTTAGGAGAACATTCAGCAACAATTATGTAAAGAACTTTAACTTTTAATTTGATATTTTATGAGACTATGGCAGTAACTGGACTTCAAATAAATCTTTGACATAATCTTATCAGCTTCATTCATATTTTAGGTATCCAATATCCATGTAAGAGGAAAATGACTAAATAAAAAAGTGTCTAAAATTACATTAATCTCTTTCTGTTCCACATAGTTTCTTAGTATTACCAATAATTCAATTCATTTACTGACATATCAACTCATTATTCGTGTTTCACTCTGTATTGAAAAAAGTCTTACCTTTTTCTTATCTCTTGATTTCGACCTGGATCGTGATCTTTTCCGTTCCCTACTCTTGCTTCTGTTCCGTTTCTTCTCCTCCACCATTTTTATCACTGAAATTAAATTCTTCTTGAAGAAAGCTAAAAATGCGGAATTTAACAACAAAAGAAAATTAATTGATTGGCCAATTTTCACAGGAAAAAAGAAACTAGATCGATTGATTTTATTCACTTCTTCTTTTTGACTTCACCAAAACAATGAAATAACAGGAATTGATCTGGATTGCTTGGTTTAGTTGGTCTCCATCTTAATTTCAGCTTCAGGTGATCTCCGCTCGTAGATCTAGAAAACATAATTGGATTAGTAGTGGACAAAACGTTTGCATTTTCAACGCCAAACATTTAAACGTCTTCCTATTATTATTATCATAATTAGCACAAAACCTTAACAAATTCTTACATTTGTCTTATATTACATTTGATTTGTCTTGTGTTACAAAGATTAACTTTACAATCGTCATGCTTCACAATTCTCTTACGTCTGAACACGATTGTCTTTTGTTACAAACGTCTATCTGGAATATCAGGAAAGAACCCAGTTGGAGAACCCAAACCGGCCATAGAGTTATTAGATAATTACCTGAATATACGCCTCTGTCAGAGTTATTAGATAATTACCTGAATATACGCCTCTTTCAGAGTTATTAGGTAATTACCTGAATATACGCCTCTGTCAGAGTTATTAGATAATTACCTGAATATACACCTCTGTCAGAGTTATTAGATAATTACCTGAATATACGCCTCTTTCAGAGTTATTAGGTAATTACCTGAATATACACCTCTGTCAGAGTTATCAGATAATTACCTGAATATACGCCTCTGTCAGAGTTATTAGATAATTACCTGAATATACGCCTCTGTCAGAGTTATTAGATAATTACCTGAATATACATCTCTGTCAGAGTTATTAGATAATTACCTGAATATACATCTCTGTCAGAGTTATCAGATAGTTACCTGAATACACACCTCTATCACAGTTATTAAATAATTACCTGAATATACGCCTCTGTCAGAGTTATCATCTGTGGAAGTATATTGGTAACATGAAGATCCTGCATCTCATACCACTGTCCTGAACCCTTGTGTAGAACATGAACCTAAACATAGAACATAGAAGTTAACATAGCAAAAGTGTACAACATGGACATAAATCTAGATTACTAGCTAGAGTAAATTTTTTTAGAAAATTGAAGAAAAAAATCTTTTAAAAACGAATTTTTTTAGCCTATTTTACCCCTTGGGTAAAAAGCTTTACTGGTTCCCAGCTAGGCTAGAATTCCATAAGCAGACGACTCTCAAAGGCTTCAATGGTTCCCAGCTTGGCTAGAGTTCCATAAGCAGACTATACTCTCAAAAGCTTCAATGGTTCCCAGCTAGGCTAGAGTTTCATAAGCAGACGACTCTCAAAGGCTTCAATGGTTCCCAGCTTGGCTAGAGTTCCATAAGCAGACTATACTCTCAAAAGCTTAAATGGTTCCCAGCTAGGCTAGAGTTCCATAAGCAGAATCATCTCAAAGGCTTCAATGGTTCCCAGCTAGGCTAGAGTTCCATAAGCAGAATCATCTCAAAAGCTTCAATGGTTCCCAGCTAGGCTAGAGTTTCATAAGCAGACTACTCTCAAAAGCTTCAATGGTTCCCAGCTTGGCTAGAGTTCCATAAGCAGACTATACTCTGAAAAGCTTCAATGGTTCCCAGCTAGGCTAGAGTTCCATAAGCAGACTACTCTCAAAGGCTTCAATGGTTCCTAGCTAGGCTCGAGTTCCATAAGCAGAATCATCTCAAAGGCTTCAATGGTTCCCAGATAGGCTAGAGTTCCATAAGCAGACTATACTCTCAAAAGCTTCAATGGTTCCCAGCTAGGCTAGAGTTCCATAAGCAGACTATACTCTCACAAGCTTCATTGGTTCCCAGCTAGGCTAGGGTTCTATGATATATGCTTGAACTTTTTTTCTTAATAAGGGTTTTAATTCATCTAAAGTGTTCTCGATATGTACATAGTACACTGTACAGCATCTAATAGTTCATTATATATATAAACCTATTGTTTATTATCTGTATGTACAAAATAATCTGAACTCATACAGAGCTCATATAAGGGCTAATTTCTCGTTTTGTAATCCATATATAGATTTGGCTTGTCTGTCATCCAATAAACGTCAAAACGGCTGAACCGATCGTGCCCCAATTTTTTTTTGGGATCTCTCATGACCCCAGGGAAGGTTTATAAATGATAAAAACTTAAAAATTTGTTTTTTAAAGTTTTCTATTTTTGTAAAAAAAATTTAAATCCGAAATTTCATTTTAAAAAATCTGCGAAATTTTTTAATCTTTGTTTTTCAATATTACAATGAGAACATGTTAACAATTGATATAGAAGATGGACGCGAAGCGCCCTAAACGTCTAGTAAGATAAATTTGAATTGGGATTTTTCATTTAAGGAAGTAGAGTTTAAATATTTGATTAAAATAATTCAATTTAAAAATATCCCACACCAAGAAATTAGAATTACAAAATCCTAAATCCTTTCAAGGATTTATAATTTTGGATTTCAATGACAAGCAAAACACGCATGTTCATGTTTTGTACTATTTGAAAGGGCAATTATTGAACGTTTAGTTGATTTGACCGTTAGTATAAAGCTCAACTTAGCTGGGGTTACCATGTGAGGGACAGGGAGGGGAGGGGAAAGATAAGGTCAGGCACGCGCAACAAGTTGACCACTAGTTAATTGTGACAAGGGCGGGGGGGGGGGAGCTTCTTCCCNCCCCCCCCCTCTCTACATCATGAGTATATAAACTTAGTACAATTCGTTTATATTCAGTTTACTTGCTACACCTAAAGCAGCATCATAACAATACTAGTTCGTATTCAATCTTCTTGCTACATCAGAAGAGTTTACTCTACTTGCTATACCTAAAGCAGTATCTAAACAGTACTTGTTCGAGGAGTTCGAGTTTACTCTACTTGCTACACCTAAGGAAGTTACTAAACACTAAACAGTACAATTGTTCTAGTTTACATTACTTGCTATACCTGAAGCAGTAACTCAAAAGTACTTGTTCGAGTTTACTCTACTTGCTACACCTAAAGCAGTAACTAAACAGAACTAGTTCGTATTTAGCCTACTTGCTACACAAAGCAGTATCTGACTAAACAGAACTTATATCTTGCTGTGTCAACACAATGAATTCCTGCCTTCCGTGCTTTCATCTTAGCGCCATTGGTTTTCCAGTTTTCCTGGTAGCCCTGCTCGTCTCCTACATTCTATACATGTCCTATAGAAAACCAAAGAGTCGGCGAACTAAGCGAAGAGTTTTGAGGACGAGAATACCAACCCTGAGTGGTTCAGTTGGTAATACTGTTCCCTGTTTGAAGAGGGAATTGGAAATGATGACTTTCGAAGACCTGGTGCAGAATTACGGGTGGCCATTCTATCTTGAAAACGAAATCCAGGAATTCGTCGTTTAATAAAATAATATAAAACAGTCAGATCTTGTTCATATTCTTATTTCTTGCCAATAAAAAGTTTTTTAAACAGACAGATTTTTTATTTGTATGTAGTGTGACAATCTATATATATACTTTGCTTGATTGTCTGTAGCCAGCGTCAAAATGCGGCTGAACCAATCGGGCCCAAAATTTTGTGTGGGACCTCTCAAGACCCCAGGGAACGTATATGGATGATCGAATTTACAAAAATTTGTGTGTAAAAGTTTTTTATTTTTGTAAAGTTTTGAATATGCGCGAAAAAAATATTGTGAAATCCGCAAACTTTTTTTGTTTTTGTTTTATACTGTACAAATAGAAGATGCTCACAGATAAAGCCAGAATTTAAAGTTGAAAAAGAAGATGGGCGCAGCCTAGTTATTTATATATTTATATTTATTCGTAAACAAAAGAAAATAAGGATAAAAGAAGTCACATTGTAAAATGTAAATGTTTATTTACGTAAGATTAGGACTGTTCAATCTTTTTTTTAGAGGTAAATTACAGTTTTTTGTACTTCAGTATCAGGATAATTAGTCATTTGGAAGTTTTTTATCAATATAAATTTTGTTGAATTTATTGCTAAAATATTGTATTGTTGGAATCTCCAATCTTGGTTCGTTAGAAGTAAATATTGACTTTATTGCAGCTTTAACACATGCAATGTTTGTTCAGATAATTAAACACTTATAATTTTAGTAATTTAAAAAAATCAGGTTACGTTGTTAAACAATCTTTGTCTCAGTTCATGAGACCATTGAACGAAAACTTTTTTTCAGTACCAAATACCATACTGCAATGTTTTTTTTTTGTGGGACATCATGTACTTATAGAACATATTCTTAAATGAACACTTTTGGAACATATTCTCGAAAAGATTAAAAAATGAATTTTAATTGTCAATTGAAACAACAATCAACCCAATATATTCGGAACGAGGAAAGTTGAACTTCAAAAATTAGCTTATTATTGAGTCAAAATCGAAAAAAAATTATGTTTTCCAGGCTAAAAATCCTGAAAATCTTAACAATTTAAGGCATTATCCGTACAATCCATACACTTTTTTTGTAACAAAAAAACGTACAATCCTCTCATTTTCGCCACCCTGCACCTATTATCTGTGAAGACAATTGGGACGCCTAAAATCTTTGCTTTATATCAGGAAAAAAGATAATAATAGTTGAGAAATAAATAATCATAGTCTATGTGTTCTGAATTCATACGATTATCATTTATGTATTGGATTAAATAATCTAAAAGACTAACAACCGATAAAAATCTCTTCTTAAAAGATGTATTAACAGATTTTTAATTACGTTAACTTTTTATCCGCCAGTACAGTACAATGTGGTACATAAGATCAAACATGCTGTTTCATTTAAAATTCGGTGATGGTGATGGACCAAACCTCTGTAGAGTAAAAAAAAAGATGTTAGTTCCACATTTATTAAAAATATTGTTGTTGTTTCATGTACATTGTGTACATTTTACAGTAAAATGTAGTATATATATATGATCTGCAAACCTGTCATGTCAAGTACAGTATAGTACATAATATCTGTTAACCTTTTATCTGTATGTCGACTGTCGTGTACAGTTTAGTACATAAGATCTGCTAATATTTTTTCTGCTTGTAGATTACAGTATAGTACATGAGATCTTCAAACCTGTTATCTGCATGTAGAGTAAAATTTAGTACATACTATCTGCTAACTTGTTTTCTGCATGTAAGTACAGTAAAGTACATGAGATCTGATAACCTGTAATTTGCATGTAGAGTACAGTTTATTATATGAGATCTGCTAACCTATTATCTGTATGTAGAGTACAGTATATTACATGAGATCTGTTATCTGCATATAGAGTACAATATAGTAAATGAGATCTGCTAACCTGTTATCTGCAATAAGAATAGAATGTAGTACAGGAGATCTGCTAACCTGTTATCTGCATGTAGAGTACAATATAGTACATGAGATCTGCTAGCCCGGATTTGACGGCTCCACGAAACTTCTTCGTCTCGACGAGAGCGTGGACGAACTCGAAAATAGCAAAGACGAGGGTCTCGAAGCTTATGACCTCACCGTCCGAGTCAACAACCTCATCATCTCCTCCACCTCCATTCACAACCTCGCGGACATATTTCTCCGCTGTTGATATATAGAAGATTAGACTTAAACCTTAAAGGGACTGAGCTGAAAACTTTAGAATGGTGAATATCGAGATCAATACTTGATCTCGTGGCTTTACTGAACCCGTGATTACTGATTAGGTTAATACGCATTCGATATCCAAGAAAGAAGTTTAAAATTCAAACCAATCAACGTGTCATGTTTAATACGCTCTTAAACTTTAGAAAAATCGGTTTTTAATTTTAGCGCATTTCTGGTGTTGATGGTGTCAAATTAACTAATAACCGATTGAACGAACGTAAGTTTTGGAATAATGTTAATTAAAACAAATGTTCAAAATAACTATAGTCCCATGATGTAATTCATTTTTGTTTAAATGCTCTAAAAGCCGGCTTGTGAGCAGCTGACTTTAGTTTAATCAGATATTAGTATAGCATCGTATCTGTAATTGTTATCAAACATAACTTTGATACAGTAGGGGTATCCAAAAGAGAGGATCAAGAAGAAAATCTAAAGTGTATACATATTTCGTACATTGGATACTCAAGATTAAGCGATCGGTATTAAGGATATCCCATTCTAAAGTTTTCAGCTCTGTCCACATATTCTTAAATGACTCCTTAATGAAAAAGGGTCGTGCTTAATTCACAGTGGTACTCTTTAAACCTTTGTCTCAGCAAAAAAAAACATAGAACTTCTCGTTTTTCTGTCTAAGAAGGTGTGTAAAGGGTACAGTTATGAATCGGACTTGAAACTCTTTAATTGGGTTACGATCCATTTAACACCATGGTGCACGTAAGAACTTTTTAGATTTGATTAATTTTGTTTTGATTTCCGAGGAATTGGTGAATCTAAAATATCCCTGAGGTAGTGAGGGTAGACCAGACTGGAGGAAGGATCTGGGGTAACCAATCAGACATCTGCTTTGGCACATTCTTTATCAGAACTGTCAGAGCTTTTAATACCTACAGAAAACAATCCAGTTTCAACTGAAATACAAAATGATATTTCATTCATTTATAAAATACCAACATGACTGAGAAACGTAAACAAATTAGTTTCCCCGTGTCGTTAAAAATTAAGGAGTAAATTTTTTTCCTTTCAAAATTTAAAAACACAAGAACGTATTTTGTAAATAAAAGATGTACCTCAGTTTTAAGCCCCGAGTCTGAGGTTTGAGAATCTGGAACAGAGAGAGAAGCTACTAACGCCTCGGAGAAGGTTGATAGAACAGGGTTTAGTAAACTCTTTTGCAGTCCTTTATTAACCTCACCTAAAGATAAAAAATTTCGAAAAATTAAAACTGTCATTATTATTAATTTTCAAGGAATCGGGGAAAAAAGAATTGTTAAGTTTACGGAACTGTAACCTGTAAGCATAATTTCAAATGACCCTACATGCACTGTCCGATTTACATCGGTATATACCCTTGAATCCTTTATCCTATCAATAATGTAGAAGAAAACTGCAATTGAACATGATCAATTTTAAGATTACAAATTTGATATCCAATTTACACTTGGCTAGATAAGGGTTTCAAGGGTGCTGATGTACATCGGACAAAGCCATCTTTGCATTGAGGGTCACTTGACATTACGCGCACAGTCGACCTTTAACTTGAGCTTTTCTCGTGTCTTAATGCAGCATTGAAAGCCGAATATTATCAATGTTTCATTTTTTGTTTTGTTGCTTTTTAACAGGGGCGTAAACAAGGATTTTTTTCTGGGCGGGGATTTTAACATTTTGTGCGTGCCGATATTTCCCCCCCCCCCCAGACCATGATTATGGGTTATAGCTGGGTTTCATTTCAATTTCCCAATCATTTCTGGGATTAACAAACTCTGTCAAATAAAAGGCTTCCTTTACCAACTTTCTAAAGGTTTCCCATAATAAATTGAGAATTTTTAAACAGCTGAAAAAATAGCAAATCCACCCATGTAAAAAATCTGCGGTGATCAGCCACCTGTGCTCTGGGAACTTAGTTGCATTGTTTTGAAGAATAATTACATAAAGAAGAGTAAATACATGAAAGAGGAGTGGATGCAAATGCTTTCTGATAGGTTCTACATCAAAAACTACCATGCCAATAATAATTCATATTTTCCCCTGAAAGTTAAGGGCCTTATTGGAAAAAATCTTTTTATACATACACAGAGACTGCCTTTGGAAGCTAGAGATTCTCATGAAATTTAACTTAAAAATTTAACTTTAAGATTTTTTATTTACATTTTTCCTCTTAATGGTAATCATGAATGCATTTAAGCGTAATAAATACCTATTGTGCAGATCATATTTGTAAGAGTAGTAAATATTTCTACTGCGCTGGATCTAGTCCTTATGGTGTACCGGTCCGCTTCACAGAAAATTCTATTATAATATAGAAGAATTATTTAATTGTCTTTTAATCAATGTTTTTGAATTTATAGTTTTAACTTGNCACCCCATTTCATAACCGATTGACAATCCTAAATTTTCAGAATTAATCAGTTGACCAGTCACTGTACCAGTGTCTCCCCAATGTGTAGGTAAAAATTTAAATGGTTATAAATTTTATACATTTTATACATGATTCTGTTATATTTGATATTGTTTTTTTTAGTACTGATGACGAGGACATTATAAGATTTAGAAATATATTTATTGAAAAGTGGTCTCCATCGTTTTTTATTTATAACCTTTCGCCAACTATAAAAAGGACGGTCAACACAGATTACATGGATATATCTATCTTCAAATCAAAACCAAATCATACTTTTAGGGATGTCAGATACAAAATGACTAAACTAGATTAAATGATATCTACAATATCTGGTTCCTACCTTTATATATCTGGAAGTATAACTGGATATACTGGTAACTGATTCCTTCCTATATATATCTGGTATTTTAACTGGATCTACCATGGTATCTGGTTTATACCTATATATATCTGGTAGTATAACTTGATATACTGGTATCTGGTGCTACCTATATATATCTGGTAGTATAACTGGAGCTACTGGTTTCTGGTTCCTACCTAAATATATCTGGTAGTATAACTTGATATACTGGTATCTGGTGCTACCTATATATATCTGGTAGTATAACTGGATCTACTGGTATCTGGTTCCTACCTTTATATATCTGGTAGTATAACTGGATCTACTGGTATCTGTTTCCTACCTAAATATATCTGGTAGTATAACGGATCTACTGGTATCTGGATCCTACCTATATATATATATTAGGTAGTAAAACTGGATCTACTGGTATCTGGTTCCTACTTATATATCTAGTAGTAGAACTGGATCTACTGGTATCTGGTTCCTACCTATATATCTAGTAGTAGAACTGGAGCTACTGGTATCTGGTTCCTACCTATATATATCTGGTAGTATAACTGGATCTACTGGTATCTGGTTCCTACCTATATATATCTGGTAGTATAACTGGATCTACTGGTATCTGGTTCCTACCTATATATATCTGGTAGTATAACTGGAGCTACTGTAGGTATCTGTGAGTCTGTAAGATCTCTTGATAGTTCCTTTAATACACGAACTGCGCCTTGGACTCCAAACTTATCCTGACCTTTTATCGCCTAAAACAAGTATTGAAAAAATTCAATAATTTAAGATCTAAAAGAAAATCCAAACATGGAATCCCCAGAGCATAAAACAAATTTTCTAGGTTTTCCTAGTAAGGTCTTATTTTTTTTAAAAATTAGCTGAGTAAGAAGAGTAAAAAGCAATTTCATTAAATAAATTAAAAATCAAAAAATCAATTTTTCCAAAAAATTAAGTTTTTCCTCCCATAGCTTTATAAATCAAAATCCCCAGGGCATTAAGAGCAATCTAAAATAACATTAAGAAAGATAGAAATTCTTTCCCCCCAAAAAAGCAGACTGCACCTGAATAAGAATATCGAAGAGTTGAGGCCAATGGTCTGGCCAGTCCCAGTGTGCTATAGCTGCTAGAGAGAAGGCAACTGTGTTTCTTACTAAATATTTATAAATGCTAGAATATGTAATGGTAAATTCTGTTTGTTTGTATGTCCAATCATAACTCAGGAACCCCTTGATGGATTTGCCTAAAATTTTGGTTGGGGAACTCGTTAGGACCACGGGAATGTTTAAAAATTCTAAGTTGAGAGGGTTGACTTAAATAGTGAAAACTCCAAACAAAGCTGGGTTCTCAACAGGCAGGGGCCTTTGACGCCCCCCCCCCCTATCTAGTTTTTTGCCCTAGTACTCTCATTTTTGACTCTACTCTCATTTTGTTTGACTGTTCATGAATACTTTAAAGGGCTTTTTGTAATCTGTTTTTAATGCATAGGGTAGGGTACAGGGCGGTAAAAAGTCCAGTTCGTGTAAAAAAATCTATAATAGTTCATAACTTGACTAAAGCTACAGATCTTAAAATTATACTTTTGAAAAGCCTTTAAAAAATGGATGTAAAATCATACATCTTGATATTTGTTAATACAAAACATTTTTTTTACATTTTTTAACCCTTTTAGGGCCTTTTTTCACCCCCCCCCCCCACAGCACCCAAA